GAGAGGAGAATGGAGGAGAAGGGATTGCGGCGTGACCATCCCCCCTGGGGGGTGATTTCTCGCTTTCTGTCTCTATGTCTCTCTCTGTCTGTCTTGCAAGCGCACGTGCCCTACAGTGAAAATCTCTAAAAAAAAAAAAAAAAAAACAAAGGGATCAGAATCATGTGGTTCTGACTTCATTCTATATGTGTTTGTCAACACTTCATTTGTAAAATATTCATTGGGTTCAAAGTGAAATTCTAAGAATTCTAAGACAAAACTCATAGGCTGGGCAGCATCTGAGAACTTCACTTTAATATCTTTCAAGTGCTTCAGAATAGGTTCATCATGTTCTTGAACCATATCACTGAGCAAGTCAACATTCTTAAAATCAGTCAACCAAAATTCAGGAATTCCCTTAGGGTCTTCTTTTACTTCATCTTTTTTCTCCTCATCCGGTTTCCATTCACATTCTTCTTCTGTAGGTTCATTAATTGCATTAATGATCTCAAACCGCTTATCAAATAGAGGCTGATAGAGAACACCATACTTCCTTTCAAGATCATGAACTTCCTCATAGAATTTGGCTTCTATCTGTGCACATTTGACTTGAAGGTTTTGCAGAGCATTCACTCGTCTTTTAACTACCCTAGGCAAGCCTTCAATGTATCCTGTTGGTGTTTCTACCAGACCATCAAGTCTTTCTTGAAGGGCTGCAAGAATCTGAGGATTTTGCATCATCTGAACAATCAGCTGACACGGTTTGATTTTTGTTTCTTCACCAGTTTCTTCTTCTTCCACTTCTTCAACATCATCCAAATCTTGATCAAGTTTAGACTGTTCTTTGTTGTCAATGTCTGCCATGTTGTAAGAACTTCAAATATCGGCAGTTAGTACCGAGAGCCAGGCGGACGGAGCTGCGCAGGCAAGAGACTCAGGGCGGCAGCAGTGGTGGGAGGAGCAGGAGGCGGTGCTGGGAGCAGATGGCGCTAAAAAAGCATATTTTAAAAAATCCAATATAGGTTGGCCCATGACCTAGTGGTTAAGAGAGTTGCCTCTCTCAAGGCCAGCCATGATTTGAATTCTGGCCCAGGGGCTAGACACACATGCCGAGGCTGTGTGCAAGCAAGTCCAAAGTCCCCATAGAGGGTCAGCTGATTGGCATGGTGGTTAAGATGACTGGATCCCACATAGCCAACTCTGCAGTTCAAGTCTGGGACCTGGTGGCTTAAAAAACACATTGGACTCATGATGTGCATACATGCCCCAAATCCCAGAGAAAATAGAGAAGGGGTTTCAGCATGGCCATAGCTACTAGAGAGTGCTTTCTCACTTGCCCTTTCTCTCTCCAGCCAGCTTACAACCCTGAAACAAATTGAAAAAAAGAAAAAATAGAGCAATGGGGGAGAAGGAATTGTGGCATGACCATGCAACCCTGGGGGGTGCTTTTTCCCTCTCTCTTTCTAAGTTTTTCACTGGTGGGTGAGTGCACATACCCTCTGGCAATGAAAAAACAAAAACAAAAAACAAAAAACAACCCAATATGAGATCCATTGATATCTGACCAGAATAATACTGTTTACCTAAAAGATGTCAGTGAATGGCAAAAAAATGATAATAAACAGTAAACAGAGATACAATATAGAAAGTAGATAAATCCATTGTTTAATTTTCTTTTCTCCTAGTTAGAATGTAAACTACTTTGAGGACCAAAATTTTATCGAGTGCCAGATACTATACAGATACTAAACAGAGACTCAATACATGTTAGTATTTGTTAAAGCAATGAGGAAATGAGGCTCAAAGGAAAAGAGCTGTGGACGGAAATATCCTAAGTAAAATGATCAGAATATGATAGAGGCCGCAAGTCAAGGGTGGAGCAATGAAGTTGGAGAAAGTTGACTTTGGGAGTTTCCCTTCTGAACCCTGCTTTATGGATCCAACTGCAGGGCATCTGCATATTCAGAGGTGTTTCTCCACATGCTTCTTGTTGCCTTTCTCCTAGAGGTATTTTTGAATCATTGAGAAGTCAGTGGCTCTTACCTGGGAATATATTATATTATCTGGAAACTTAAAAACAAAACTAAAAGAGAATAACAATAATAATAAAAACCCAAATAGCATCTAAATTTTCCTTCCCTAGGGAGTCTAATTTAAATGGCTTAGGTGGGAGCCAGACATTGGTAGTTTTTTTTTAAGTCCTGCAGGTGGTTTTACTGTCTAGTAAGATTGAGAAGCAACCAATAATTTTAAGTACTATTTTTGTCAGGTAAATTTGGACACTGAGAAATCTAAGCTTTATATGGAATGCAGTTCTGATTAGTACAATTTCAATCAGCCGGCACGGAGGTATCCGAAACCACTCCAACCTAAATTTAGCATGGCACTTGGAGAAGAGGTGTTCAGGGTGAAATGAACCTACATCAGGCTGAAGCTCTGTGTGCCCTATACGTTGGCCTCTACACCTAGAGATGTTGAGCTTCAGAAACTGCTTGGACAACAGAATAGCCTGTGGAGAAAAATTGTAGATCAGTGATTTCCAATTTCTAAGTCAGGGGAGAGAGGAGGTATTGTTGGTATGTTATTGCAAGACTTTTTATAGGTAATCATAAATATGTCTTGCATACATATCTATTTTTTCCCCAAAAGAATATTGATAATATCATGGTGAATAGAACACAGTTTTCTTTTTAAGCATTGTGTTGAGTTCACAGAAGCCTTTGGTTATTCTATATTTTCTCATTCAACAGATACCAAAATTGCAATTATTGTCATATGGAGCCTGAACTCGTTTTTTTTGAACACTGAAAGAAATCTTACATTTTTTTTTTTAAATGATACCCTCTCATCAAGTCTGAGAGAAAAAAGCTTGACATCTGGAGAAGTCCTGCAGGTGGTTTTACTGTCTAGTAAGATTGAGAAGCAACCAATAATTTTAAGTACTATTTTTGTCAGGTAAATTTGGACACTGAGAAATCTAAGCTTTATATGGAATGCAGTTCTGATTAGTACAATTTCAATCAGCCGGCACGGAGGTATCCGAAACCACTCCAACCTAAATTTAGCATGGCACTTGGAGAAGAGGTGTTCAGGGTGAAATGAACCTACATCAGGCTGAAGCTCTGTGTGCCCTATACGTTGGCCTCTACACCTAGAGATGTTGAGCTTCAGAAACTGCTTGGACAACAGAATAGCCTGTGGAGAAAAATTGTAGATCAGTGATTTCCAATTTCTGAGTCGGGGGAGAGAGGAGGTATTGTTGGTATGTTATTGCAAGCCTTTTTATAGGTGATCAGAAATATGTCTTGCATACATATCTATTTTTTCCCCAAAAGAATATTGATAATATCATGGTGAATAGAACACAGTTTTCTTTTTAAGCATTGTGTTGAGTTCACAGAAGCCTTTGGTTATTCTATATTTTCTCATTCAACAGATACCAAAATTGCAATTATTGTCATATGGAGCCTGAACTCGTTTTTTTTGAACACTGAAAGAAATCTTACATTTTTTTTTTTTTTAAATGATACCCTCTCATCAAGTCTGAGAGAAAAAAGCTTGACATCTGGAGAAAAGAACTTTTGGAGCAGTGAGGACATGCATGAAAGTGAAAAGGGTTAGTGGAGAACTGTTCAGTGGGTAGCCAGTATATTTAACTTTCTTTCATATTGAAGGAAGCTAGAATTAATCTGAGGTTGGAGTGCCCAAGCCTGATTTAAAAATAAAGCATCCTAGCCTTCTGAAAGGTGGCCCTAAATAATTCTTAACCCAAATAGAGAGGAGAAAACCCTATTTTAGATTCTGTGAATAGGTAGCTTTTCTGTGCCCCTCCAATAGAACCATTCTGATTCCTGTAAAGAGGAACAATATCTCCCTCTGTCATGATCATTAATAGTGAAAAGTTATCCATTTCTTTATCAGTTCTAAAGAAAAAAAAGGAAATGATAAAGCAGTATTGTTGTCTAAAATGAATGACTACAATGGCTAAATGCTTACTTTATAGTGACTCAGTGTTTCAGACTGACCTCTCAATTGAGTATAGGCAGGCCACTTGTATGTTTTCCGTCAAATCATCAAGAAGTGAAATGACGATGACAAGCCAACATTTATTATATATGAATAAGAGGCAGTTAGGACAGGTAAAGACCTGGCAGTCCTGAAACAACTGTAAAGACCTAGGAGTAAAAGCATCAACAATGACATTCAGCTGCTCAGTCATGCCAGCAAAATGGTGAGTGCCCTTTAGTTTGAGACTTTAATTCTAATGTATGCCCAAGACCGGAAAAGGCCACCATGATAGAGTGGTGGAATGAATATTTGATTTGAAGTCATCTTTCCTGGTTCTGAGTCTCTGCTCTGACATTTAAAACTTGTTGATCCTGAGCAAACCACCTAACCTCCCAGAATCTCTATTTCCCCACCTGCAGGTAGGAAATAACAAGAAATTGGGCTCTCTTATTTTAGTAGGTTGTGTGGTTCAAACAACATAGGTATTATAAAAGTATTTTATAAAATATTGGGTTGTTGGAAAAATTGTGATATATTTTTCTGTGTAAAAATGTGTCATGACGTTTCTGATTGCTCAATATAAAGCATCAAGGCAAACGTTTGTTATTATCACTGCATTAATCACCAAAGACCTTATTTAGTTCAAAGCAATGCTGCCCAAATCATAGTTTTACAACTTCTAACTTTTGGATTTAGAGTATCCCATATCCTCATCAGCAGTGAATATTTATTATAGGGTCCAATAATAGTCATGTAACTTTCAGGTAAATGTAGCTCAATTGATGCCCATAAACACAAATATCTGGAAAGAAAATAGACAAAAATGTATCTGGGGAGAAAAGTGCAGTCTACTATTAAAAATGTTGACTTTTTGGTAAGGTTGATAATTAAGAGCTTTGGAAAGCTGAGGAGAAAATAGAAATACTGGAAGCCCAAGAAGCTTGCCAATGGGAGGGAAGGACTGCTTAAACAGTTTTGTGAGCAAGGACCAGCAGGGACACAACGTGAGAGCCATCATAGGCTGCCAGGTGCTACAAGTTGCCAACCGTGTGCATGAAAAGTTGTCAACTCTGTGGGTGAAAATTTCTTTTGCTTCCTGGTGGAGCATGACATGGGTGATCTCCATGAAAGGTAAGGGGGGAATTAGCAGGTGTTTCAGAGTGATACCTTCCTGTCTTGATATTTTTCATTGCTTTCAGAAGCTCACAGAGAGTCTACAGGCACTATACAAAATTGTCAAGGACTCACGTCTCTTGTACCTACTTTACACTTCTCTGTACATGAGATTATTTAATTTCACATTTGTTAGCACTATATTTGCATTTTGGTTTCTGGTACTCAGATCATAACTCCAGACATTTCTGCCTTTGCCCTTTGGCTCTCTGAATTGCAATCATGAACCTGAAGTTTCACATCCCAGTGCTCAGTTCTGGCCCCCCAGACCTGCAGCAGTTTCCTCCAGCTACCATCACCCACGTCCTGTACACCTGGGCAGGGGGGCCATACAGAGTTGTATATGATGAGTCAACAATAAGTACATAATTCTCAGCTTTTTGACTACCCAGACAAGAGGAAAACCTAATGATTTATATCATAATTAACTGGCTCTGAGACAAAACATGGTTTTGGGGCACCTAAAATTTGTTTGGCTTTGAACTCCTCTAGTTCCCTGGAACTGTTCCCCCATCTGTCCTCATTTTGCCTCATGTGTCCTGCACTATTTCCAGTCTGTTACCCAATATAATTGTATTCTTGGTGGACGACTCTGAGAAGTAAGTGGCAGTATAGGTAAAACTTGTAGGAAGCTCAACCGTATCTTTGTTTTTCAGGGATTTTCAAGGCGAGAGAAGAAAAGAAGCAAAAAAATCATGGCTTTTTCCACCTGTGCCAAAAATAATGAAAACAGACAAGCCT